CTATGTCACCCAGGCTGGTCTCAAACTGATGGTGAGCCTCTTGAGTGTTGGGATTACAGGTGTGCACCACCAACATCTTTCTTGTTTATACATAATGATTAGACTACATCTCTTTCACAGTGAAAAATGCAGGCTTTGTCGTAATGCCTTGGTATCAAGATGGTCTCCTAGAAGTCCTTCTGTCTGATAACGTCTAATAACCAAGCATATTTATCCATATGAACAAATTAGTATCTAGGTTTCTTTTCAATGGACTTTGGCACTGACAAAATTCACAGGGCAGACACATGGCTGGGTCTTATGGCCCAGCTCAGAGCTATAAAATGTCATTGGCTTGTTGATCACCTATCTTGAAGGTCCCTGGAGAAGAGCTGTGTCCTCTCCAACCTGCGCTGGGCCCTGCACTCTCCTGGCTGTCTCTCAGCCTATGAGTGAGCTCTGCTTATACAGCAGAGAGAGAGAGAGAGAGACACTTGTCATCTTCTGGATTGTCATATGTCATTGCTATCATGTTCTCCCTTTGGGCCACCCTGCTCTCGGGAGGCACAGGGAAAACTCCTATGAGCTTGTTATAGCCTGGACAGGGGTGTTTGAAGACAGTGTTTCTCTGTCTCCAAAAAGGTACCCAGCAATGAGGGTTCTACAGTCACTGACTGAACTTCAACCTTCAGCTATGTCCTGATACAATAATGCCTTCACTTGGTTAGATCTTTTTTCTCTTAGCATTACAGTACTTCATTATTGCCATAGGGGGAACTGTTGGCTTAATTTTGCTTTGGAGACGCTGCTGCTGAAATTATTAAACTAATGATTTATGCTCTGTGTGATACAGCAATCTCTTGTGCTTAGAATGGTTACTATGTTTTGTTTACTGTTTATGACTACCAGCGGTTGTACCGTGAAACATTCCTGCCAGCTTGCAGGGTTTATTTATCCCTGTGGATATGTAGAAACCACTGATTAATATAGAAAAAAATTTGAATGGTTTATATTTTTTAAAAGTCCCATCAGCTATGAATCAAGGCACTGTGCCCTGGTGTGGGAAGCTGCGTCCTGTCCGTGCAGAGGAAGGGACAGTGGCTGTCAGACCTGCTGACTCTCCGGCTCGCCTCTGCTTCTATCAGAACGGAAAGTCTGATTCTGTGAATCAGGGCAGCCCTGGGACTCGGTGACTTCTGGGCCATGAGATCCCCAGCATTTCGCCCTCTGTGCCACCCATTTCGCCACATTAAGGGACCAATCTGCTTAGTGAAATGTTGCTGGTGTTTAAAGGCTGCTAATTTAGATGGCTGGTGGTAGTCCCGGGGGCTGGGCCTGGTGGAGGAGACTCCACAGCCTTGTGAGGTTTGTATTCAAAGACCTGCACCAGGCAGAGGGGATAGCTGATCCAGCTGGTGGTGGGGGAGCCAGAGCCAGTACTCCCATGTTCAGGGATAATTCTCACACCGGGACGCACTTCTTCCCCAAAAAAGGAAAGAAAACATCAACCCCACTGCTGCTTTGTGCAGCTTCCCCTGGATGCAGGCCTTCATTCTCAGGCCTCACCTGACTGCTGGCTCCGGAGCCCCCGGGGTCCATGTGGCTTAGTTTAGACCCTGGAATGGTTCTCTGCAGCTGCACATCTATGAGTCTTGTTCAGCTGGTTGTGACGGCTGACAAGGGCCAAGGCGGCACAGTCTAGCGTCGGTATTCTGCTCCAAGTGGACCTCAGGCCTCCCCACGTCCATCCAGACCCAGGCGCCAAGCGCAGGACTGGGCTGAGGCTCCTGCGCCAGGACCGGTGCAGGATAAGGTGGTCCTCGGTCAGGGGCCCATAAATGTGCTGCATGTGGACACTTCAGCCTGGGAGGGAGGACGTGACAAGTCCGTTTCTCAGCAGCAAAGCCAGGTCTGGGCCCCAGAGATGAGAACAAAACTGTTCCCATGTTTTCACATTGTAATTTGAACATCTGTGTTCAGCTCTGGCCTCATATTCCCCTGATACCAGGCCTTCTATACCAAAATGCAGTCAGACATTTAAAAGGAAGATACAGAGAGTGAAACACCACACCCAGGAGTAATAACATATGTTTTATTCTTTTTTGTAACCCCTGATTTCTCTTCCCCACAGATGCAAACTTGCATATAAAGATTATTTGCAATGTGTGGGAGTACAGAAAACATACTATTCTAGTAGTGATTTTAATTGGAAATATGGCCTAATTTCATAGATATTTTCATTCAGATGAATTTTTATTACAGCCATAGAATTCCTTCCCTTTTCATATTAGAAAAGGAAAAATTTTTAAAAATTCTGAAGTAATATACACTAAATTTTTAATAAACTCCATGTTGGAATTTTATTATAATGTTTAAGAAACTAAATCCTACAGAACTTATCTTAAATCTCTATCTTGTATTTTTTCAAAATTCATAGTGTAATTCAATTAGTAATCATTTTAAAATCACAGGAATTTGAAACCAGTGTGATATGTTATCAGAAATTTTACACGAAGCACAAAGCAGATGAAAGCATAATGCTTAATAAACATGACCAGCAAAATATCTGTGAAGTCTAAAATTTTCTAACATGAGAAACTGTAGACTTTTGAAGGTAGATAGAGAGTTCATCAACCGAATAACTTTCAGATTCTTCCCAGTGAAAACAAGTGCAAGTGGCTTGAAAAGCAAATGTGATTTCAGGGAAACAATTATGTCAACAGAAAATAACCGACGCTGGATCTTTAACCACTAACTATTATGATACAGTTGCTGTCTGTAGAACTATAATATTGGGGGCCATCTCAAAACATTATCCTTAATATAATAAGCATTCTAGTAATTGTCCCTAGCCCCTTCAACAGCTCCTTTGGTCTCCTAAACACGTAGAGGGTTAAAGATAACAGTTCCATCAAAAGACGGCAGGGACATCTCAAGGACACATACATGGAGCTTCATTTACACAGGAACAGAGGGCAGAGGAGCCCTTTCACTTTATTGCCTTTGAGGTTTTAAAATAAATGGGGTGCAGTGGAGTTGTGCCCTTATTCTGTTTCCATTTAATTGCCTTTTTCAAAGTATAACATGCATACGGAACATCTCCAACTTTATAATTTGATGAATCTGATAAAGCAGGGGTGTAGCCATTGCCAACATTGTGACATAAAATGTTTCCATCACACAGCATCATTCTGCATGCCCTTTGCCACCAAGTGTTGAGCCCCAAACCCCCAGAAAACTCTGATCTCTTTTTATGACTACAGTTTTGCTATTTATGCAATTTTTATTTAAGTGGAAGCATAAGGGTACCATGGTATATCACCATAAATCTTTGTAGTTGGAATCTTTCATTTAGCACAGTGTTTTTGAGAGTCATGTATTAGTAGTTCAACCTTTATTTTTTTTAAGAATTGTGTAGTAGTTAGTCTGCTATATGGATGTAACAGAATGTGTTGTTCTGTTTACTGTATGATGGGTGTCTCAGTGGTTCCCAGTTTTGGGCTGTATTAACATTCTAGGAATCCAAGCATATTTTCATTTCTTGTAAGTAATACCCAAGAGAAGAATTATTAGAGCATATCTTTCTCAGGTGCTGGTGTATTGTTTTATTATATGCATGCAATGCTTTGTATTTGAAGGGAAGACATATTCAATTTTCAGTTGTTTCATACCCTGAAACTCTTAGTATTGTCAGTCATTTGAAATTTTAGGTAAGATTCCAATGCATGTAGGCATTCAGTTTCCCAGAACCATGTGATGAAGAAAAGCTTTCATTTCTTCATTTGTTGTGCTGGCATTCTTATCAAAGATTGTTTGATTCTGTGTGTGAGTTTGTCTCTGAGTGTTCTATTCCACTTCATTGACTCATGGGTCTGTCTTTGCATTTGTTCCTTAGTTCTCACAAGGCTTGTTTTTGTTGGTGTTTGTATGTGGGCTCCAGGAGTTGCATACATGTGATCATGCCATGTGTTCATAAAAAAATACTTTCACTTTTTCCTTTCCAGTTTGGATGCTTTTGGTTTTTTCAGGCCTAATTACTCAGACTTCCAGTAGTATTGAATGGAAGTAGTATGGGTGAGCATCGTGGCCTTGTTCTTGAGCTTTGGAAAAGCTTCCACTAGTTAAGCTATAGACCATTGCATGTGAGGTTAGCTTTGAGCTCCCACTGCATTCCCAGTTTGTGTAAATTTCCTTGCATCATAGTTTGTTTAGTGTTTCAAAGGATTTTAGATTTTGTTTAATGCTTTTAGTGGATTTATTGAGATGATCAACTGATTTAGAGCATTTCTTCAGTTTGGTGGTATTTCAGATGTTTGGTTGGTTTTCAGATGTCAAACTATCCTTGCATTACAGGGAGAGGTTGTATTTAGTCTTAGTGTATTATATCCCTTTAAAATTACATTGAATTATAGTGTATTGTTGATTATTTTTACATCTTTATTCAACAGGGAGCTTGGTCTACATTATTCTCTTGTAATATTTATTTGTCTGGCTTGGTATCAAAATGATGCTGATCTCAATAAAATGTATCAATAAAATTATTTTGGAGATAGTGCTGCCTCTTCAGTTTGTTGGAAGAGTTGAAGAACAGTTGATGTTAATTCTTCTCAAAACAGCTGGCAGAATTCTTTAGTGATTTATTTATAGTATTCTGTAAGTCTGTTAGGTTTTCTTCATCATTTTTTTATTCCTCTAACTGGACAATTTCAAAGAAATCTACTGTGTTTTTTTTATTTTGCATGATTAACAGTTTTAAATTACTATAGTGAATCTTTCCATTCAACTTTTGTATTTCATTATTTAATTACAAAATTTTTTAGCTTTTTGTTAATATCCTAATTTTCCCAATTCATCATTTTTCTGCAGTCATCAAATATGTTTATTTTGAATTTTTGTCATGTAGTTGATATTTCTGTTTCTTAGAATCATTACCATATATGGATTGAATCAATTTAGAGAACTAATTCCATAGAGTCCAAAACCAATTCAGAAAAGTCATCCTTAAAATTCTATTCCTTTAGGAGCAATTTTGGGAATCTGCCATGCCGGGTTTTGGGGGTCCAACCAAGAAATCAGTGATCCAGCCTTCCTAGTAAGCAGCACCAGCCTACCGACGGGCGGCTGATAATCACCCCCCTCCTTAGCAACCGGATGGTTCTGAGGACAGCCTGAGTTGACAGCAACTAAGGTACATACAGTGACTAAATGCTTGTATTGTTTGGTTGATTATCCAGTCATGGGACCAGCAGTCTGAGCATCTCTTGGGAGGATGACAAGTATGCAGTATAGCAAATTTGGGGGGTTTCCTTCTATTTGGTCTTTGAAGTCCAATACTGTTTTCACTGTTTTCCTTTGTTCTGATTAATCATTTTGCTTTATTCAGTATTCTGTTTGATTCGTTTTACTGTGTTTTGCTTTTGGTTTGATTTTGCTAGACCTGATGGAATGGACAACTATTGTGAAGATAATGAGATATACTGTGGTAACTATTATTGTTTTCCGGCATCCTGCTCTGAAGTTCTGTACCAATCTTGCTGCATTGCCTTGACTGGCTTTGTTCTGTCTTGCTTTGTTGTATTTTACTATCTTAAAAAACAAACAGAAACAATTTTGGTACCAAAGTTGATATTAGTTAGGATTTTCCAAAGAAACAGAATCCTTACAAAATACATGTGCATGCAGAATTGGGTCATGCAGTTTCTGAGAAGCCCCACTCTCGGCCTTCTGTGTCTGGAGAAAGATGGAGATTGATGGATGATTCAGTCCAAGGCCACAGGACTGAGGTCTTTGGTGGTGATGGATGCGATGGTGGATTTTCTGCTGCACCAGTAGCAGAGGATGGAGGTTCCATCAAACAGACAGAAAATTCCCCTGCACCACCTTTTCATTCTATTTGAGTCTTTCCTCCCCAGTTGGATGACAGCTAGTCAAACGAGGCATTTGCCAAGTGTTCATTTGCCTATAAAAAATAATTGGGATAAGCTGAAATTTTTTAAACAGAAAATTCTTACAAAGATTTAGCCGGCTATTGCTAGATCTCTTAAAATGAGTTTAAACCATATTACTCGCCAATGAAATCAGAATTTAATTACCTCCCCATACAAGCAAACACACACACATCTCAGGAATCAGTAAACAATTGCCTAAGTGAAACTTTCACAGAACATTTGGGGTGCTTCTCCCTGTGACTTCTGGCTCATTCAGATAGAATTACTGAATATGTACTGCAGGCATTTGAGGCTTTAATATTTGCCTAAAATCTATGCTCCCAGACCCCTCCTTTGGATTTCCTCTTTCTCCCTGCTTTGTCTCCCTCTAATGTTATTCCCTCTCAGTTCTTCTTAATGGCTTAATTTCTTGTTCTTTTAAGAAACAAAAACTCAGGCTTTAAAAACACATCAGTCATTCTCGTTCTTATTTATGAATCTAAATAAAACGTGTGCCCTGGAAGGTGTAGATGGAGCAGGAGTAGTGACTGAGAATATTCTGGGGTTCAGATGAGAAGAAAGCACACCTGTGTTGCCTAACACCAGGTCTGTCAATCTAAGATCAAAATTGCTATATCCTATTATTTATCACAGGGCTTGACACATGTTTAATAAAGTCTATTGAAGGAATGAATATATCTTTTACCTCCATGATTCATCTTCCATTTCCAGCTTATTTAATTACCCCATACATTCCACCTCATGCCCTAAAGATTTTGTTTATTGGCTTGCATCCCATCTTTGAAATATTTTGTGGGTTGGCATTCTGAAACTGTTCAAGATAACTGGGTCTATCACCCGTCCGTGATTCTCTAAGTGTTTACAGTGTTCCTTCAACTAAAAGCATGGCTTAGACTTCTGTCTCCTGTCTCTTTCTGAAAAATATCCTTGCAAAAGAGGGAATGTGTGATGTTACAATGTTGGTTGTATTCCTTTTTGCTCCAATTTCACTTCTTTAGGAGCATCTTTCTGGGGAGGAACTGCACTCATGCGATTGCGAATGAGGATCATTTCCAAAACAGCTAAACAAATTCAGATTTAGCTTCCAGGAGTTTATCCTCTGAGGGTTGATCAGAAATTTAGAATGGAAACTTATTTCTCTACCATTTTCATAAGGATTTGAGAAAGAAGAAAAATAAGGAATTGCTCTCCATGGTTATAAGAAAACATAATTTAAGGCACCTTGAGAGAAGACACCATAACATTGTTAAAAAATAAAATAAGAAAAAAGACCATTTAAGCTGCCTGATTTTTCTTGTATAAATAAAGATGTCCTGAGGACGCTACCGGCATAATTCATGCTACGTTGCGTTGCCGTGTTGACACGATCCCATCACAGGGTAAATGGAATAATGGATCTTATGTTTCCGCTTAGTACCTCTATTAGTCAGAATTCGCCAACAAAACTGAACCAACGGGAGGTTATGTTTAGCGTTTACACCCCAGAGTGTATTTTGTTCAATCCTGGGCTACATACTCTATGGTGGTCCTATAGGATTTCAATGAAGCTGGAGCTGTCATATCCACTAATGAATGCACAACTGAAGAGGCAAGAGAAAGGGAAACTGCAGGATAAGAAAAAGGTTGCAGGAAACGCACAGTGAGGGAGCAGCAACTCTTTGCTGGCCTCGAGTTCTGTGGAAAGTTTGAGACATGGAGCCCAGCACTGTAAAGCTCTCATTAGCAGAGATGGATGCTCGGGCTGCATTGTCCGCTCACAGGCTGATCTGTGCTGGAAAGAAAGGAGCAAACACGGTGGACATGTTTCCACAAGGAGGGGCCTCCTTAGGAAGAGCCTTGCCAGGCATAGGATGGCAGAAGGAAGCCTGGTTTCCACAGAGCTGGGGCTCTGGGGCCTTCCTGCAGAACAGGACAAGGTGGCAGGCAGTGACACCAACAGTCCTGACCTCGTGCAGGCCCAGGCTCAGGCATCTGCGTATGTCTTAGCTTTTAATAAAAGCATTAAAATATATATTAACTAACTAATGGATTAATATTAATTAATTAATATTAATTAAATTTTAAGTAAAATATTTTTAGAGCAGCTGTGCATGTGTTTGCATTTTAAGCCATGTTTTATCACAAGATTCAAAAGGTTTAAGCACTAAAAAGCTGTTAGCTTATGTGCATAGTGTGTATAAAGTCTCCAGCCCGGGGCAGCCATAGCCTGGGCTGTCACCTGTGCCCCACTGCTCACAGCCCTGTGCCCGGGAAGCACCACGACAGGTGCCTCTTTCTGTCTTTTCTTCATGTTTTATGTGGTGCCCTTTCACTTGGAGATATTTCAGTGCGCACCCTGGCTGTTGTGTTGAAGTGGTATACCACATGTATTTAAGGAGTTGGCTTGCTGTGAACAGAGGCAAGTCCAAACTGCAGGTGAGCCCACAGTCTGGGGCTTCTGGCTGACCCAGGACAGCCAGTACTCTGGGGGTCTCCAAGGTGAGTTGCTAAGAAGTCTTGCTGGTTTAGGAAAGGCTGGTCTTTTTGTTCTATGAAGGCTTTTGACTGGAAGCCCACCCACAGTGTGGGAGCCAATCTTCTTTTCTGCAATTTTACTGACTGAAGCGTGAATCTTATCCACATGTGCTTACGAAAAATCCAGAATAGTGTGCAGCCAAAGATCTGGCCACTGTAGGCCCAGACAAATTGACACCTAAAATGAATCAGGACCATGCTCAGACAAGCCTCTAGGTGATTTTCCTCACCAGATAAACACACAGAAAACAGGCAAGTATGAAATGGGTTACAGGGTTCTGCAAGGGATGCTCTAGGCTGGACTCTTCGGGGCCGACGAAGAATCACTAGTTCCTAAGCAGAAGAGCTTAGAGTGCATAGGTCCTCTGGAGTAAATCACAGGGGTTAGACAGTCCCCAAACCCTGAATTTCCTGTGCCTTTGGCCCCTTTGAGCCAGGTCAGCAGGCCACTGAGATAATTTATTCGGGCAACAACAAAAACAATGGCAACTTTTATCGTGAATTTTCTGGTAGCTTGCGCTAAAGATCTTTTCTGTCCAGGTTACAGCTAAATTTAGCTCTGCAGTTCATTTTGCATAGATTTTTAAAAAGGTTTTAGACTGAATTATGTTAATATTTTACATCAAAACAGTTACTATACAAACATATCTGCACAAGCATTCAAGGTTCAATGTTATTCACTAAGAGATTTCTCATTGATAATTCATCAAAGTGAATTTATCTTTACACAAACAAGCAATTCTTTTTACTTGCATTTTTACTAAGCTATTGTTATCCAAGTAGAAAGGACCATAAAAATTTCCTAGTGGCATGTTTTCCTATTTCTGTTAAGCAGTATAAGTAGAGGCTGGGAAAAAACAGTTAGAGTATGTTTTGTATTTCTGCCTATAAAATCCATGAAAGAGTTTCTGGGGCCAGGGATTTAATTTAGTGGCACAAGTGCCTGCTTGGCAAGTGCAATGTCATGAGTTCAATGCCTGGTACCAAAACGAGTTCCTGTACTTGAAATTGTAGGACTGTTATTGTCTCCAAGGCAAATGTCCAACCTAACAATGTCTGCTCTTAGAAACCTCAGGACATACAAATCAATGGATACGTTATGCTAATTACTTTAGTAGTCCTTGGCTATTCCTTTTCTAATTCATTTGTCTTGTTTTATTGTGAAATGTGAGTTCAGGATTTGGGGTAGAGCAAGGGTGATTTTTGGCCTTTTCGATAATTTTTTATTTGGATCTATTGCTACCTTTAGAACACTGAGGTGCAAAACATCCTCAGAGAAATTTTCAAATGAACTTGATGAGTTAGCGTTATCCCAGGGCTGCCATCTTTTCACTCGATGCACGTCCACTAGTGACTCAAACACAGGAAATACTGGGTTAGTATCTTGCCTGGGGATTGTAAAAAGAAGAAATACTGAGCTAAATGTCACTGGTGCCACAACCCCGGAGTTGGAGACCCTTCAATCATGCATGGTCTACACGGTGACACTGACATTCACACCTGAACCACGGCCAGCAGCTCAAATGTTCTCCATTCGCCAGCAAAAAGAATCTGCAGAATCTCATGCACTGTATTCATCTCTAATTGCCTATCTCTGAAAAAGAGACCAGAGTAATCTGTAGTAAATTTTCCCTTCAGATTAGAATAAAGAATACCAGCCAAGTTGGACAGGCTGATGGTGTGGAGCAGGATGAGTCTCTGTCCCGGGCTGGGAAATTGAGAACAGAGGCGTGGAATCCTCCTTCCCTGAGATAGTAGACTTCACTGCCCATTACTAAGGGATTAGGATAATATTATTTTGATTAATTCCTTTGTGAAGGAGATATGAATCATT